AGCGCCCCGCTCTGCCGCTGCTCAAGGAGAGAGAGGGGTGAGCGGGTCAGGGACGCGCGGGGAGAGCGTCCCCATCACCCTCTGACCCGGCGAAGGGAGTGGCAACTGTCCTGGCCCCATTGAGTCATCCCCGGGGGGATGGAGGCACCCGAGAGGGCGGAGAGAGCCAGTGCCCGGAAGAAGCCCCGAACACCCTTTGGCCAAGGCCCCACCCTCCTCACCTGCAGGAGAAAATGTTCCGCCTCCGCCGCCCTGCCCGCCGCCATGCACTGGAAGGAGGCGTTCTGGCCGGCGTTGACCTCCACGTCGCCCAGGCGGAAGAAGTGCGGGGCCTTTGCTGCGGGAATATGCCCGCGGGGTGAGCTGGGCCTGCGCCCCCTGCAGGCGGGAGCCGTGACCGCCCGCACCCCTCCCCTTGCGCCCGAGCGGGCTGGGACTCACCGCAGGGGTAGCTGAGGAGCAAGATGTCGTCCAGGCCCATGTAGCCCCTGCGGTCTGGGGAGATGAGAGCCTCAAACAGCACCTGGGGGAGGCGGGAGGGTCCCTGTCATACCGACATTCCGCCAGCCCTGCCTGGGGAGGTGTCCACAAGGGCCCCCTTTCAGTTCTGCTCCAGCCCCTTCCTCAAACCAGCAGAGGTCAGCCCAGCTCACAGTGACTGCCCAACCAAGCCAGCTAGCTGTGGGAGGCGGCGTCAGCCCTCAGAGCTAACACGGTCAAGGCCAGAGGACAGTTACCTTCAAGTAGCAAAACTCTTCCCAGCCAGACAGGGATTCCAGGCCAGCACAGTTCCAACTCACTCTCGAGCCCAGCTCTGACGTGGAACCCAGACTGAACTGTCACTGAATAACCCAGCGCTGACCACGGGCTGATTCCTGGCCTCGACCACAGATTGCCTCCTGATGCTGAACACAAACTACTTCCATCCTCAGCCACTCACTCTGGCCTCAAGCTGACACCTCACTACCCCCACCCTCAAGCATAAGCTGACCACAGATTGAACTCAGCCCACCTGATATTCATTGGGCCAGAAGGTGCTGACAGCCATTTCAGCCTGGTGCCACTGACGGCCATGGGATCCCGTCATGTTCCAGACAGCGCTGCCCAGGGGACCGCCATTGACCCGCACGTAGATACCCAGTGTGCCCGGGCTGTGCCCATCCCGGCTGTACAGGAAGTAGCTAAACTGCACACAGTGGGTGTCATTCTCGCTCAGGCTCTGGAAGATGACATGGGCCTGCTGGCCTGGAGCATGCTGGGAAGCATTGACCATCAGGTAGGAACCTGAAAAGAGAGGAGGAAGAGTCAGGGAGTTCAGGAGACCTGGAGGACCAGGGTCAGGTGGGCACAGAGGAGTGGGCAGAAACCAAGGACCCCAGGAATTTGAACAACACCATGAATCCGGAGTCCCGAGTTCTGGACCCAGCTCTGATTCACTGGGTAAGTCCCTTCACTTTCCTACATCTATTTCCCAAAGGAGAGACTTGGAGCAGGAAAAACACAAAAGTCTGACTTTAACACAACCCTTTCTTGCTCCTCACCACCTGCAATCACAACCCAAGCTCATGCCGATCCAAGGCTTTCCCCACGCTCTGAGCTGTCCTTGGAGGCAAGGACCATGTCATTCATCTCAGCAGTCAAGAGTCTGGCACGACAAGCCCTCAAAGGCCCCCTCTTCTGAAGTCTCCCCCCTCCCTCCTCCCTCCTTCTGCAGGCTTCTCTCCTGGCCCTTAGATCATGAATAAAGGTGTGTGTGTTTCCCACCAGCCTATGATGCCTCAGGGTTCCACTGTGTCCCCAGCACAGGCTCTGAACCCAAGCAGAATGACTGTGTAGAACAGATTGAATGAAAAGACTCTAACTTCCCTTCCAGCCCCCGCCTCCTGAGTCTAAATTCCTGGGTTACATGTCTCTTGATTTCCAACCTAGAGAAAGGCAGCCCTGCCCCTTCCCCAGAGATCCAGGCTGCCTGCTGGCCTGGAAGTCGGGTGATGGAGTGGGCTGACTCCTCAGGACCTGGGCTGAGGGATTATGGCTTCCCTTCTGTGGGGAGAAGGCCCCAGCAGCTGCCAACAGGGTGCCCGCAGCCACCCAGCGCTGCCTCCTCCCGGGCTTGGCTGCCAGCCAACACAAGCTCATTCAGCTCCCAGCTCTGGGATGACTCCCCAGGGACTCCAAGGAGGGGATCTCATTCATCTCTGTGAGCCAGAAGCCTGTGGAGGCTGCTCCTGGTCCAGTCCTGGTGGGTAGCAAACAAAAACCCAGGTCGCCGTCCCCACTCAGGAAGGGGCAGACCCCAGTACCCAGCAGTCTCTCTTGGCCCACTCCCACCCGCTCCGCTCTCCTCTCCCTGTGAGCAGCTGTGTGCCTCTTCCTCCCTCTTTCAATCTGACACTTTGTTCTTGTCTCTTCCTTCTGCTCCCTCTGCCTCGCTCTCACTCTGCACACACACCCCCACCCTTCTTTCATTTACTCCCTTCAGTCCTGTGGCTCTTCTTTCTCTCTCCTGCTCTCTGCCTCTTTCCTTCTCTCTCCACCCTAATACCCTTATCTTAAAGGGAGAGCACCATCTTGCTGACCCCTGCATCCCCAGGATCCAGCACAAGGCCCCTGCTACTTGTAAATTTCTCTTTCCCCTTTCCCACTGGATATACCTCTATTTGTGTGTGGGAGAGAAAGAGAGAGCCCGCACAGAGTGGTCAGGACTGTTAAAGGTGAATGCAAATCACCTTGTACCTGAGTGCCAACCAGGTACCAGACTGAGAGTGGGGCCCTGGGGATATGGAGACGGCCCACACAGTGCCCTACCGTGGGCACCTTGATAGATCACTCTCACCTAGATCAGACTCTGATACCTGATAGTATGGAGCTCACACAAGGGACTGAGAGCCCTGCAAAGGCAGAGATGGGAGCCCCAGGGTGGGCACAGGGGCACAGGATGGGGGGAGAGGGAGGCCTCCAGGAGGCAATGCCAATGATAAGAGATGAGGATTTGGAGGCTGCCCAGGCCAGACAGTGGAGGGCCTCTCTCCTGTTGGCTTCAACTCCTGGCCTCACCACTGAGAATCTTTGCTGCCCTTCCCTGCACCCTTGACAGCAGTTCCGAGAGCCGAGACCCTGGCCCAGTACTGTGACAGGGCAGAGGACAGGGTCCGCAGGCTGTCAATTCTGAGGCTCCCTCAGCAGGCCCATGTGGTTCTCACACTGCTATCTCTTCCCACCCAGCTTTTATCCATAATAAGGTTGATATGTTGGCCTCTATCTGTCTTACCCTTTTCTTAACTCCCAGTTGATTCTGCACCCACTGAAGGGGGTGCTAATAATTGGGCTCCCTCAAATACCTCCAACAATAGCAACTAAACATTCATTGAACCCCTACATGCCACCCATGTTATGTACCTTATATAGACATTATCTAATAACACTGTGAAATAAATATTCTCCCCATTTTACAGGTAAGAACATGGGAGCTCAGGGAAATGAAGTGACTTGCCCAGGTCACACAGTGATAACGCCAAGATTTGAAGCTCAGTCTTCATGATTCTGGAACCAGGGTTCCTGGGGCCAGCATCAGAGCAGGAGGCCAGGACTAGAATCCATGTCATTAGTCTTCCGAGTCCCTGATTTCAGAGAGGAAGGGGGAGGGAGAGCGAGATAGAAACATCAATGATGAGAGAGAATCATTGATTGGCTGCCTTCTGCAAGCCCCCCATTGGGGATTGAGCCCACAACCCGGGCATATGCCCTAGTCAGGAATCGAACCGTGATCTCCTGGTTCATAGGTGGATGCTCATCCACTGAGCCACACCAGCCGGGCAAAAAAAGAGGGCCTTTGAATACTTGAACCTGCACCGATTTTGCAGGGAAACTCCCTGATGTACATAGCTGGGCAGTGTCCAGAGCTTCACCCTCACAGTGTCATGTATGTCATTACAGATGCCAAAGCAGATGAGGCTCCGAGAGGTTAAGTAATGTACCCAAGGTCACATAGCAGGGCGGCAGAATGCCCCCAGCAGGAGACAAATGGGGAATGGTGACAGAGTAGACTCACCGTGAGGCAGGTCCGCAGGAGCCCGGGTACCAGGTTGGATCCGCACCTGCTCCCACTGGAAGTCATCGTACTGGGCCTGGCTGTACTCACAGGGCACTGCTGAGTCACTTGTCTCCTCGAAGGTGCAGCCAGCTGTGAGGGCAGGGCCTGGTTAGCCAAGGCTAGGGTGGGGCTGCTATCCAGGGGGGCTCCTGGAACTACCTCCAGGTGCCCCCACACTCCCTTCCTACCCAGGCCTACCCAGGCCTACCCTGCCCCCCTCCCTCTCCACAGGCCCTCCCCTCACTGCTCCTCCAACAAAACTCTCCCTCCTCCACCCTCTCCCTCTACCAAGGCTCTCTTTTCATTGTCTACTCCCAATACCAGACCTCCCCACATTGTCCACTCTCCCAGTACTTCCCAGGACACCCTCACACACACACTGCTCAACCACCCATCAAAGACCCTACCCAACAAAACTAGTTATATCATTAGAACCTCACAACAACTCGTGAGATTAGGACTAGAATTATCCCCATTTTACAGATGAGGAAACCGAGGCCCAAAGAAGCTGAATGAGTTTGAACTGAGATCTCCTGACTGCTAGTCAGAGCCCATCACCTGCCCCTCCACCTTTCCATAGAGGACAGACAGTAGGCCCCGGAACCGGCAGGGTCATGAATGCCCTCAGCCAGCCCTGACAGTATCTGCTTAAAAATAACAGTGGCAACAGATTACCTTTCCATAGGACAGACAGTAGGCCCCAGGACCAGCAGGGTCATGAATGCCCTCAGCCAGCCCTGACAGTATCTGCTTAAAAATAACAGTGGCAACAGATTATCTCAGGCTTACAACAAGCCCTGAACAGTGCTAAACACTATAGGTGCAGACTCGCATTTAGGCCTCGCCTTCTGAGCGGGTACCACTATTATTCCTACTTGACAGATGAGCTTAGAAGATTCAGTCATTGCCCAAAGTCACCCAACTTAGCTTTCTGCTTGCAGGAATATGACACACAATGGCACGGTCATATATGGACTGGGCACACACATGAGCAAAGGAAGCAAATTCTCATGATTTGGAACCAATGTTTACAGTTTCAA